CTGACAGCGAGACCAGACCCTGGCATCGTTGATGAAGAGGTCGCTGCTTTATGCTGAGGATTAAAAGTGAGTGTTATCAGTCTCAGGGCAAACCCCCAATCTCTTCCTTGGATAGAGTCCTTAATCTGAAAGACACTCTTCTTGGGCAGTGTCTTCACTCCCTGGGAGCTTTGCCTGAGTGAGGACTTTAGCATTTCACCTTGATGTACTACTTGGGAAACTGATGAAACTTAAAAGATCTCTCTATCCACAGACACACCTACCTATCTCTTTATCAAGCCCTTTACACAGCCATCTATATCTCTAGCCTTACACATCTATCTATCCCTCTGTTGAACCTCTTAAACAATCCCCCTATATATCCCTGTCTCTAATCCCTTATAATCCCTCTATCTATCTACCCCTTACACATCTCTCTCTCTCTCTCTCTCTCTCTCTCTCTCTCTCTCTCCCCCTTAAACATCTATCTACTCTGTAAACACCCCTCTGTCTGTCTAGCCATCATCATCATCATCTGTCCACCCCATCATCTTACATATCCCTCTGTCTATCTGTCCTTCACTCTCCTGCTCTTTAGCCATCTCTCTCTCTCTCCCTAACATCTCATCTTGTTCTCAGGGAATTTTCCACCTCAGTTTCTCAGTGGCCTCTCCCGACTTTCTTGTGGGGCCAATTCCTATGCACTTCCTCAGACCAATCTTGGGAGATTACACAAGTCAGCCACTGAGTATCTTCAGCCTGGATTGCAGAGGCAGTTGAGGGCATACAGTATTTCTTGGGATATACTGAGCACCACACAGGAATGGGGTGTTGTTACCTTAGATTTATCTATTCCCAGTTAGTAGTACAACAATAAGGAATAAAACCAGCCTGAATTCTTTAAAGTTTGAGCCTCCAGGGTGGTGATGGATTATTGAGTTTACTGGAGCACTGGAAATGGCACAATGAGTGAAAAAAATTAAAGCTTTATTTAGAATAAACGGGTTAGCTAAAGCGAGCAGGTATTTCAGTATAGCCACACACTGTATTTTATACGCACTCACTAAGATGAAATGACGCCATTCCGAGGTGATGCTTTCTTTCACCGTATCTTGATGGACAATGGGCATGTCTAATTTAAAATTAGCCTACTACTCTTCATGTAATCACTTATAATCATGCCCCTTGATTAACTAACTTTCAGTCTGCCTATTGCCATATCTGTATTTCTGCTACCATAATTAAATATTTCCTAGTTTCTCATTGGCTTTTTAATGTTAAACATTGCCTTAATTAACATCTGTGTAATAGCCATATGAAGAGCTACCAATATTGATAGCATTTTCAAAAATACCAGCATTAATTTAAAAGACTTGTAAAAGCCAATTAGGACCAAAACCTGCTTACACCATGACCAGGGGTTCCACCCTAAGATGTTTCTAACATACCTCTGAATTGTCTCCCTTCACTTTATTCATATTTTAGGAAGCCTTCCTTGGCTATTGTCATACCTGTTTTTTTTTAGGAAAGAGTTTTGGATCTGCTTACATTTCAGTGTATTTTTGTAGAACATAAACAACCATGATTTCTATAGACCACCAAGGAAATTGGCATTGCATTGAATAGCAACTGGAAATCCTTACAGATTAAGAAGCATTGGGTCTCCTGTGATTACGGCACTTGCCTGTCAATGGGTGACTTGGGGCTTGTACACACTAGTGCTTACTTTGATATAATTTATGTTGCTCAGGGATGTGAATAAGCCACCCCCCTGAGCATTGTAAGTTACACCAACCTAAGTGCATGGGCAGCACATAATGGGAGCTACGGGAGGCTAAGCCTCCCTAAACCTCCACTAATGCTCCCTGCCAGGGTTGAGCCACAGCAGGGTTCATAGCCTCCAGGTGGCTGGGGCTCAGGGAGGCTTGGGCAGGCCGGCTCTGGGGACGGCTGAGGTGGGCAGGTGGGCCGGGGCTCAGCACAGCTGGGGTGGGCCGGGACTTGGGGTGGCTTCGGCAGGTGTGCTGGAGCTCCTCTGGCTGTGGGTTGGGGCGGGGGGTTGGGGCTCCCCTGCCCCTGTGAGTGAGTGTGGTGGGGGTGGGTCCTAGGTGGAAGGGGCAGGGCAGGGGGCTAGCCTCCTCAAAAGGGGGGGGGTCATGCGGCACCCATGCCTAAGAACCGATGTGGACAACGCTATGTCAGCAGGAGAAGCTCTTCTGCCGACATAGCTACCACTGCCTGGGGAGGTGGTATAGAGCATCTGCACTCTAGCAACTCAACAGCAGTGCAGCTACAGTACAGCAGCGTTGCTGCAGCGATTTTAGTGTAGACTAGCCCTTGGTTTCTCTTCTCTGCTCTACCACAGACTTCCTGCATAGCCTTGAGCAAGTCAGTCTGGGCCAGATTTTCAAAGGTATTTAGTCACCTAATGGGATTTTAAGAGCATTTAGCTGCCTAAAACCCATTTAAATCCATTTAATTTAATGTAACGTATTAATTAATAATAAATATAAATAAATTAATGAATTTAAATCAAGTTTCCCAGAGGCTTTTGAAACTCCCACAACTCACATAAATATGTTTGAAATCTGGCCTCAGAAGCTTTTCTGGAAAATATGTTTTAACCATACACAATAAGTTGAGCTCAGTGCAGGGCTAACTGGGGACATTCTTTGCCATGTGTCCTAATGAACATCAGACATGATGATATAATGATCCCTTTTGGCCTTTAATCCTATGAGTGTACAGTGCTTACTTACATTTATTTTTATTACAAATATTTACACTGTAAAAAACAAAATAAATAGTATTTTTCAATTCACCTAATACAAGTACTGTAGTGCAATCTCTTTATCACGAAAGTGCAACTTACAAATGTAGAATTATGTACAAAAAGTAACTGTATTAAAAAATAAAACAATATAAGACTTTAGAATCTACAAGCTCATTCAGTCCTACTTCTTGTTTAGTTAATTGCTCAGACAAACAAGTTTGTTTACATTTGCAGGAGATAATGCTGCTTGCTTCTTGATCATGTCATCTGAAACTGAGAACAAGTGTTCTCCTGGCACTGTTGTAGCCTGTATCACAAGATATTTACATGCCAGATGTGCTAAAGATTCATATGTCCCTTCATGCTTCAACCACCATTCGAGAGGACATTCATCCATTCTGCTGACAGGTTCTGCTCAGTTATGATCCAAAGCAGTGTGGACCGACACATGTTCATTTTCATCATCTGAGTCAGATGCCACCAGCAGAAGGTTGATTTTCTTTTTTGATGGTTTGGGTCTGTAGTTTCCACACTGGAATGTTGCTCTTTTAAGACTTCTGAAAGCATGTTCCACACCTTGTCCCTCTCAGATTTTGGAAGGCACTTCAGACTCTTAAACATTGGGTCTAGTGCTGTATCTATCCTTAGAAATCTCACACTGGTACCTGCTTTGCGTTTTGTGAAATCTGCAGAGAAAGTGTTCTTAAAATGAACATGTGCTGGGTCATCTTCTGAGACTGCCATAACATGAAATCTATGGTAGAATGCAGGTAAAATAGAACTGGAGACAAACAATTCTCCCCCAAGGAGTTCAGTCACAAATTTAATTAACACATTATTTTTTTAACGAGTGTCATCAGCATGGAAGTATGTCCTCTGGAATGGTGGCCAAAGCATTAAGGGGTATACAGATGTTTAGCATATCTGGCATGTAAATACCTTGCAACGCCAGCTATAAAAGTCTCATGCAAATGGCTGTTCTCACTTTCTGGTGACATTGTAAATAAGTGGGGAGTATTGTCTCCCATAAATGTAAACAAACTTGTTTGTCTTAGCAATTGGCTGAACAATAAGTAGGACTGAGTGGACTAGTAGGCTCTAAAGTTTTGCATCATTTTGTTTTTGAGTTCAGTTATGTAACAAAAAAATTCTACATTTGTAAGTTGCACATTTACAGTAAAGAGATTGCACTATGCTACTTGTATGAGGTGAATTGAAAAATACTGTTTCTTTTGTTTATCATTTTATAGTGTAAATATTTGGAATAAAAATAATAATAGAAAGTGAGCACTGTACACTTTGTATTCTGTGTTGTCATTGAAATCAATATATTTGAAAATGTAGAAAAACATCCAAAACTTTTAAAACATTTTAACTGGTATTCTATTGTTTAACATTGCGATTAAAACGGCGATTAATCATGATTAATTTTTTTTGAGTTAACTGTGATTAATTGACAGCCCTAGTAGAAAAGTGATAAATTAACAGTTTTGCAGCTATTTGGGTGTGCTGGAGAGGAATCTATATCCTAATACCCTATGCCAGCGGTTCTCAATCTTTCCAGACTACTGTAACACTTTCAAGAGTCTGATTTGTCTTGCATACCCCAAGTTTCACCTCACTAAAAAATACTTGCTTGCAAAATCAGACATAAAAATACAAAAGTGTCACAGCACACTATTTCTGAAAAATTGCTGACTTTCTCATTTTGTTTGTTTGAATCATAGAATCATAGAATATCAGGGTTGGAAGGGACCTCAGGAGGTCATCTAGTCCAACCCCCTGCTCAAAAGCAGGACCAATCCCCAATTAAATCATCCCAGCCAGGGCTTTGTCAAGCCTGACCTTAAAAACTTCTAAGGAAGGAGATTCTACCACCTCCCTAGGTAACGCATTCCAGTGTTTCACCACCCTCCTAGTGAAAAAGTTTTTCCTAATATCCAACCTAAACCTCCCCCACTGCAACTTGAGACCATTACTCCTTGTCCATGTAGTTTGCACTGACTTCACTAGTTTCTTATTTAGCCTGTTGTAAAGCTAGGCAAATATCTAGATCACTTGCTTTTTCTCAATCACCAGTTACATTACACAGATAATGGCGAAAGTGGAAACCTACACACACCTCATGGAGAAAGGAGAAGGGAGAAATAAAACGTCTGTCACAGAATTCATCCTGATGGGATTTGGGAATTTTCCTGGAATGCAAATTCTTTTCTTCCTGCTGTTTCTAGGGATCTATATAGTCACCATGGCTGCAAACACTCTCATTATAGCGCTAGTTGTGGCTGATCAGCACCTTCACACCCCCATGTACTTCTTCCTGGGAAATTTGTCCTGCTTGGAGATCTGTTGCAACTCAACCATCCTTCCCAGGATGCTGGCCAGTTTCCTGACTGGGGACAGGACCCTTTCTGTTACAGGCTGCATTGTGCAGTTTTATTTGTTTGGTTTCCTAGTGACCACTGAGTGTTATCTGCTAGCTGTGATGTCTTATGATCGATACTTAGCGATATGTAAACCTCTGCACTATGTCACTCGTATGAATGGCAGGTTCTGTATCCAACTAGCAGCTGGATCGTGGCTAAGTTCATTCATAGTTCTTAACATATTAATGTGTTTGGTGTCACAATTAGCCTTCTGTGGCCCTAATGAAATTGATCATTTCTTTTGTGACCTCACCCCAGTGATCAATCTCTCCTGCAGCGACACCAGTCTGGTGACCCTGGCGACCCTCATATTGTCCTCCATAGACACTGTTCCCCCATTTATGTTGACCCTGACATCCTATGTTTATATCATCTCCACCATCCTGAGAATCCCTTCCACCTCTGGGAGGCAAAAGGCCTTTTCCACCTGTTCCTCCCACCTTATTATGGTTACAATCTTCTATGGGACCTTAATGATTGTCTACATGTCACCAAACACTGGTGCACTCAGAGCCCCAAACAAAGTGTTTTCTGTCTTCTACACGGTCTTGACACCCCTGATCAATCCTCTCATCTACAGCTTGAGAAACAAAGAGGTCAAGGAGTCCCTGAGGAAATTTCTGCAGAAGTATAGGATGTTCCCATGAATTCAGATAAATTGATTGAAATGGGATTATATCAAATCATTAGTCAGAAAGGAACCATCTACATGGTCCAAGTTCTTATCAGTTAAATCATCCTGAGTTTTAGGATGAAGATACAAAGGATTTTTTAAGAGTTGTATTTATTTAGGTAAACAATGGCAGATCCTCAACCGGTGTCAATGTCTAGAGGGACATTCATTTCTACAGTGCGATGCCATTTAAACCAGACAATGATCTTCCTCTAAATATATTTTTAAAAATCTCATCCTGAGCTCAAACTATCTTTGCCTAAATAAAAAATACAGTTCAAGTGCATGATGGGAGATTAAAGCATTCTTTTTTTATTCCCAGTATTGTTTCAGTCTCTACTTCTGGCTGCCCAGGGTTCTTGTTTTGCAAGGAGATACAGGAAGAGTGAGGAAAGTGTATAACCCTAGTGTGAATGGGAGAGATGTTCAAAGGTGGGGTTGGCAGCTCAGCATCCAATCTTTGTTGAAAGTCAGTGGGAGCTGAGCTCCTAAATTTGTTAAGATGTCTTGAAAACTCCAGCCTATATTTTCATAGATTTGTAGACATTAATCATCAGTTAAGTTTGAGGACTTTCAAAGAAGATATAAGAAACAAAGCCAACACCCACTGAAGTCAACAGAATGGTTCCCATTGGTCTCCACAGGTCTAAATCAGGCTATTCATCTTCAGTTCATCATCACCTTTCCAACTGCAAAATAAATATAGAGTAGAAATTTACCAATTGGCTTGATCATATACTGTTGAGTATTCTGTGATAATGCATTTTATTTTCTGTTTTCCTCTTGAATTTTTTAAGTACTTGTTCATACATTTTCCGAACACTTCTTAGGTTGTTTGAGCTATAACTATGAGAACTTCCTAATCTATATTTATTATATTTCCCATTTATTATTTCACTCAGACAAATGTTTTGAATGTCTCCAATGAAACAAAGGTGGGATCTGTTTAATAGAGATGGTAGATAATTTTTTCCCCTATGAAAATGTTCTTTTTCTTTCAGGATTTGTTCAAAAGACTGAAAACCCTCAGTCTGAAAACTGTTGATTTTAAATGGGCTCTAGTTCCAATTATTCATCCACTATGTTTAATGTCTTCAGAAATCCACTTTTCCTAAGAAAAACAAACCAGTTACAAGCGACCAGCTGGTCCAGTCAAAAGATGGTTTCAGAGTAGCAGCCGTGTTAGTCTGTATTCGCAAAAAGAAAAGGAGGACTTGTGGCACCTTAGAGACTAACAAATTTACTTGAGCATAAGCTTTCATGAGCTACAGCTCACTTCATCAGATGCATTCAGTGGAAAATACAGTGGCGAGATTTATATACATAGAGAACATGAAACAATGGGTGTTACCATACACACTGTAACCAGAGTGATCACTTAAGGTGAGATATTACCATCAGGAGAGCGGGGGTGGGGGGAACCTTTTGTAGTGATAATCAAGGTGGGCCATTTCCAGCAGTTGACAAGAACGTCTGAGGAACAGTAGGGGTGGAGGGGGGGAACAAACATGGGGAAATAGTTTTACGCTGTGTAATGACCCATCCACTCCCAGTCTCTATTCAAGCCTAAGTTAATTGTATCCAGTTTGCAAATTAATTCCAATTCAGCAGTCTTTCCTTGGAGTCTGGTTTTGAAGTTTTCTTGTTGAAGAATTGCAACTTTTAGGTCTGTAATCGAGTGACCAAAGAGATTGAATTAAAAGAGGGTAATCTGAATGGGAAAAATGTGTTAACTTCAGGGAAACTCCAGCAGGAACCATCTCTCTATTGATAATCAATTATTGAGGAACCCCTCAGACCCTAGGATTTTCTAGGCAGATGTGAGCATGATGTATGCATGGGTATTTTTTGGAATTTTATATGCTTAGATAATCATAACCTTGCTGATAACTTTAGTAAAATGGATAAGGCAGACTAGACATTGTTCTTGTGAATGGCTTATGTTACTTTCCTTGGTCTTTGTGTGTTCTTGGAGACTAGATCTGAGACAAATGACAGAGTTACCTTTCAATGTGAGCTTGAAACTGTAGCCAACAGAGACAGAACCATGGTAATATAATACAAAATTACTTAATAGTAAATTAATGTAATTAACTAAATTCACTTGAAATAAAATAAAAGGCTACAGATCCCACCAGTCAGTGCTCATTTCTTGGGTCCAGAAGCTGCGCTCTACCATCTACCACTGCTCTACCATCTACCACTGCTCTGTGACTGATACCAACAACGTTGAATTGATTTGCACTCTGTCCCACAGCAATCTGTCCTCCGTGAAATTGTTACATTTCCCTGCTGCTGCGTTTCTTCTTGCGGCTCTCCAAATATTGGAGGATCATGCTGTGATGTTACACCCTATTATGCTTTATAGAAATATGCTTATGAATGTAAATATGACATAACTGGAATATGTTTTATGCTACATATGCCATGTAACATATCTCTGAAAAGGTTATGATCTACTGGATATATTCATCCCATTTGTATGCATGTATCATTTTTGTATTCAAAATTATGAATATTGGCTGTGTACTTGTTTGATTTTAAGTAGCCTCAGTGAAGTATTTGGTCAGCTTCTTGAAAAAAGACTATTCTCAGTAAGTGCCCAATCAAGAAACACTTAAGCTGACAATAGACTTTGATAGATGCCAGTCCACATCTGAGCTTTCCTGGGAATGTTCCTGTAGAGAACTAAGTCATGCATGGACATGTGACTTGCCCAGATGATTCCAAAACTCCATCTTGTAGAGGGGATTCTACACAGGGGCAGGGAGGGATTTCCACCCACAAGAGAAAAACTATATAAAGCCCTGGGAGACCCCTCCATTTTGTCTTCTGCTGGCTCAAGAGGTAGCCTCTCCACCCCCAAAGGATACATGAAAGAAACTGGAACAATGCTGGTGCACTCAGAACCATGAGCCCAAAGTTGGTCTAATGCTTAGACCTAGATGTCAGTGATTTCAGCTCTGCAGATTATAACAAGACTCCCAATGGAGTAAAAATTAGCTCTGTTATTACACTATGGAGGATGAGGGAGTCAAAGTGGTGCTTAGGACCTTCAGAAAGGGCCCACACTACCAGGTACATATACCTACCCCCAGGTTCTCTAAATTCCCTAGACTTTGGAACCCATGTCCTTGCCTAGCAAGTGCTACTTAGTTGAGGGTGAGTCCCTCTGTCATAAAATGCCAAGTACAGTTCTACTGTCCTTGATTCACATAACCAGGATAACAACTTTATTACTCCTTCCCCAACAACAAAGAGACTGGGGATCCCACAGAAGCCAAACTGACCATTTGGGCAAGCAGTCCATCATGCTAGGCAGGGTGGGTGTGCCCATGCAAACGAGATCAGCACCTGAAGTCCTTTTACACAGCTCATCACCTGTCAGGGTAGAGCTCACTCTGACTCTGCTTACACTTGGAATCATTTAAAGCCTACTTTTTCGTATTTAATAAAATAACTTTTTACTTATTAATTAACCCAGATTATGTATTAATACCAGGGGTGTGGGCGGAACAGCTGGGTGGGACAGCTGTACATATCTCTCTATCAGTGTTCTAGAGGGCGAACAATTTATGAGTTTACCCTGTATAAAGCTTATATAGGGTAAACTTATAAATTGTATAAGCTTCATACAGGGTAACATGGATTTATTTGGGGTTTGGACCCCATTGGGAGTTGGATATCTGAGTGCTGGAGACAGGAACACTTCTTAAGCTGTTTTCGGTTAAGCCTGCAGCTTTTGTGGGATGTACTTCAGACCTGGGTCTGTGTTTGTAGCAGGCCAGTGTGTCTGGCTCAAACCAGGCAGGGCACTGAAGTCCCAAGCTGGCAGGGAAAACAGGCTCAGAGGTAGTCTAAGCACATCAGGTGGCAGTCCCAAAGGGGTTTCTGTGATCCAACCCATCACACGTGCATCCTCTGTTTGCAACAGTCTTGACAACAGTGCAGAGCTGTGCAGTTTCCACGCTTCTGTCAGAGAGAGAGAAGGGTCATGCAAGATTGTTGTATTTTTAAGAAAGGTGCAAAAATGATGGGATATGGAGGGCATTATGGGATGGAGAAATTGCATGGTGGGAAGTCGACTCTTGCTCCCACTCACCCCTGCCTGACTCATTTCTGCCCCATAATGCATTGCCAAAACTTCCCAAAAGACAGTGAGCTGGATGATGGTGAGTTGAACACCAGGATACCTATTCATGGTGTACTGCATTGTGGATTGACACAAGCAATCCTGGTGTGTACGCAAGGAGCCAAGCATGCATGCACACAAGTGACATAGTATCTGTAAAGGATTTATGACGAAGTAACTTGCATCAACCAAAGTTTGTAGTGTAGACATAGTCCCTCAAAGAGTTCCTAGAGCAGGTCTTTTAGAAAAACATCCAATCTTGATTTAAAAATTTCCAGTGATAGAGAATCCATCATGACTTTGGTAAATTTTTCCAGTGTTTAATTACCTTCACATCTTTCACTCCCCCAACCACAGTCCTTGGGCATTTCAAACCTCGGTGAGGGCACAAGGCCTTCTAAAAAAAAGCAAGAAACTTCAGTGAGATTAGCACACATAACCTGGGATTTACAAGTGCTGGCCTCCAATGCCTGAGTTTTGAAGACTTTTTAAATGTCTTGAATCTTACACAGTGCTCCATTGGGTAAGGCACTGGACAGTGAATCAAGAGATCTGGATTCTGTTTGCTGCTCTGACCTGAAGTGCGGTCTTGGACAAACCATTGTATCTGTCCCTTCCCACTCCCCTTGGTCTATGTCAAGTGCAAGTTTTTGGGACAGGGACAGACACTTCCTCTTTGTGTGTGTAGCACCCATTACAATGGGGCCCCCCATCTCTATTTGAGTCCTTAAGGAGTCACCAACATAAAATAATCACAGCCCTTGTGTTTTTGGTGATTTC